GTAAAACTCTAACACAAAAAAGAGCTGTCTATGCTGCCCCAGAACGCCTCGTTGGAGATTTCTCTTTTTCTTCCTGGGTACAGTGACGTATTTGGGTATAGTGACGTGACGTTACGTTACGTCCGCGGAGCCGTTACGTTACTCACACACACACACTCAATCTTTTCTCAGCTGCAGCTCCGCCGATTTCTCCGCCTGAGACGGCGGGACGCGGCGAGGCTGTGAGTCTGTGTGTGAGCACACACACAAACTCCCAGCCAGGCTGCGGGTGTGTGTGCTCGGGCTGGTTTCGGGCTGGGTTTCGCTGTCTCGCAGACGGCCACTGGGCTCACAGGGAGGGGGGGCAGGAACTCCAACAAGCCGTTTAGGACAGAGAGTGAATACACATACTATACAGAGATGCTGTATGAGAAACCAATGTGAGTTTGGAAAATTGCACAATATAAATCTATTTTAGTATACCTCAACAATGGAATTATGATCAGTAGAAATGGCCATGACATGGGACCTTTAAAGCTCTGGCTGGGGTGTAGCGATGGAGGAGTTCTGCTACATAAGCCGGAGCCAGCCCACTTAAGAAAGCATCATGTCATGTCTTACCTTCTCAATGAGTGGCTTTACACAATGAAGTGTATCTTGTATATATTGATTCAGCTCTGGGTGACATGACATCTGGAAATAAACACACCAAAAACAGAAGAACATTATTGGGGATCAAATAGGATACAAGCATTCCTAAGAACTGTGAGCATGCAGTAATGACAATGATTTTCTTCTGTATACCTGAACTGGTACATTGTATTTCTTCCTCTTCTGAAATATTCCCGATGGATAAACCTCCCGGACATACAGGATGAGATGGATAGCGACCTCCAGGAACTCACACAGGATGTCAGCAACCACTGGAAAAGGGAAACAACCATGCGTTTCATTTGTCCTTGTAAGACCAAACTCAATGCAAATTCCTGCCAATTTAGTGTTGCCGCATTAGCTCAGAAGCAACACAGTGCTTAAGCAAGTAAGGGAGACTTTACAGAAAAACACTGCTGATATGCATTATGCTATACAGCCGAATAATCCAGTATACACCCAGAAATCTAAATATATATGTAAATTGATTATCTATTCACTGGCTTGCTCAAAATCCATTGCCAAATATATCACCTCAATTGTGTGGAGGCTTTTGGGCTCTGAGCCACAACTAAAGGACGGATGATTAATTGCTTCATGCCGCCGGTTAATTTGTCTTACCTTGTCCAAAATTGAGGTCCTGTCTTGTTAGAGTTGTCATGTTTTCTATCACAAAAACTATCAAATGAAACGAAAAGCTAATTGTCTAGCTAGCTATCCATAGCAAAGCGCCAGTGTGTGGAGCTTTCATTATCTCGAGGCTGTTTCTAAGTTGTTAGATTTCCTTCTGTTGTCTCTGCCCGGCTAGACGATGACAACCACTGCGGGGGGAGGAGGGAAATGTTATTTTCTACCAAGCTTAAAGGAAGGTTAATAATGATTTAAAGGTAAGTTGTTAATTCGAACTAAGGATATAATCGATTTCACCACTCGAACGAGGCTTTTTTCCACCTTATTTAAAGCTTGGTCGCGCATTAAATTGACGTCACTCGTTGTTTACAATCGGCTTTCCAGCTACTGGTGACCAGAGGGAGCATAGGGAGGGAGAAGTACTCAGATCTTGTACTTAAAGGTAGGGTAGGTAAGTTTGAGAAACTGTCTCGAGATCGCTAGAATTTGAAAATACACAACCGGAGAAAATCTGCCCCTCCTCCAACACACACGAACGCGCACATGACCAATGAGGGCACGAGATAAATTTGTGCACAGATGGAAGGCTGACAGGCAGGTAGGCCATCCAGTTATTTTAGCCGGGCCGGCTAAAATGATTGGTCGTACTTTTTACAGTATTACGGCTTCCACAGATGAAATATTTGTATCGATTTTTTGTCAAAGCACTTAAGATATTCATTGCTATCGGGATGTTAAGAGCATTCCATGGAATATAACAAAAAGTGTATCTCGAGCCGGTTTCTCAAACTTACCTACCCTACCTTTAAGTAAAAAAAGAAGTACCAGAGTGTAGGAATACTCTCTTAAAAGTAAAAGTCCTAAATTCAAAATGTTACTCAAGTAAAAGTACAAAAGTATTAGGATCAAAATATACTTGAAGTACCAAAAGAAAAAGTACTCATTCTGCAGATTGGCCCATTTCAGAATAATATATATGATCTGTTTTTATTATAATTATTGATGTATTAAAGTGTTCTCAAAGCTGGTAAAGGTGCAGCTAGTTTGAATGACTTTGTATACTGCAGGGTAGATGGTGAATTTAATCCAGGTGTAATTAAAGCCTTATTTAAGTGTTGATTATATTTTACATTATTAATCCAAATCTACAAATCAGAATCAGAATCAGAATACCTTTATTAGTCCCACAGAGGGGAAATGTACATAGTTACAGCAGAAAAAGAGCCAAAGACAGCTAAAGCATGCATAAAAAAAGTACTAAAGGAAAAAAAAAAATTATAATAAAATAGTTACACATTTTACAAAGATAATAAAAAAGTTACACATTTGACAAAAATACACACCCTGTAACAGTTCTGAGGATTTAGCAGCTAGGTATATATTTAAGCAATAGCTCACGACAGGCCGTGGTATATGGCCATTATCACAGTTAAGGGGCGTGGTTCGGCCCGACGCGAAGTTTTTAACGGCATATTGATATATATATATTGCACACATATTGCACATATTGCACAATGCACATAGTTGGTATTTAACAACAAGAGGTGTTAGGCCTAGGCTCCACGGGAACGAAAACGGGTTGAATCCGCATATTTCTCATGCGTATAGCCCTTTAAGCTCGACGACGCCGTAACGGAAACTTAGAAACAGACCCTGCAAACGACAACGGGTCCAAAGGTGGATAGATCTGGGAACGGAGCGCTCTGGGGGGTCCAACGGGGCCGTGTGGTCGCCTATACGGTCATCCGTTTCTGATAATGACGACGCAATAGCCCCGCCTCTCCCCGCCTCTGCTGCTCACCCCCGCAAAAGTACACTGCACACTGAATTCAGATTATTTATCTTTATCTCGATATGGACATAAACGCGAGTGAAGTCTAATCTGACAGGACGGAGACACGCAGCTCCTCCCGCTGTGATGCAGCGGGAGCAAAACACACACTTCAAGTCAGATCATCACCCTTAGCTATTTTAATTACCTCTCAAACTACCTAAACTAGTTATAAATATGTTTATTTTTACTGTCGGGTCACTCATTACAGGATCAGCTGCTGCATGAGACAGACACTGACACTGTCAGAAGAGAGGAAAAAGAGACAGGCTCCGTGTATTTTATGATTATATATCATTATATCGTCGTTATTCATTTGTTTTAAAGCTCAATAAATAACAATGAAGACCTTTGACCGGCACTTTTATAATTTTGTCCGGAAGATTTAAACTTTAACACACGTTGACCGGCGAAAAACTCTGCCCGGTTCCATCGGCCCCCACCAAGGAGAATAAACAGAAGTGCAGCCATGACAACCATTCTTCTTCGCTGCTTTTGTGGAGGAAGTTGCTGCTTTTGTGGAGGAAGTTACAGCGCCACGTACAGGTTCGGCATATGTACTGCAGCTTTTCCAGCGGTTGGATGTAAACGGAGCCGTCTCGTGGAGCTTGACACAATCCGGTGTATATTGCGTGTGGGCGGAAGGTTTTTTGCGGTTGCGTTTGCGTTACTCCGATGCGTTTTGCCGTATGCGTTCCCGTGGAGCCGGGGCCTTAGTCTGTGTTGTTGTGTGTGTGTGTGTGTGTGTGTGTGTGGGGGGGGGGGGGGGGGGGGGTCTACTAGGGGCCGTGCTGGTTATAAAGTAACTAAAGGTATTCAATAAATGTAATGGAGTAAAAGTACACTATACCTCTGAATTGTAGTGGAGTAGAAGTGTCATTACATAGTTTCTACACAAAAAAACGATTAGCATTTAAATTGATTTATAAACCTGCATTATTATTTGATTATTAATGCTTTAATGTGTTCAGCACTTTAATGTAGCAGGTACAATATATTACTTAGTTACATTCCAGTTCTAGTAGAGTGATTCGCCAACTCCTATCTCTGGTTAATGTCACATGGGTCAGGTGCACCTTGATCACAGAGGGTATTCAGTAAAGTTAGTACTAGAACTTGAAGGAAACTCAAACAAATCGTTTTTAAAACATAAGTAAAGTGTTTTCTTTTCTTTTTTTTAAACGCCATCCGTAGGCTACTCATCTGTGTAATATATTTAATAACTTTTATTATACAGTGTAGTGCTACCAAAAGCCCTAGTTTCTTCACAATAGACTGAGATAGATTCACCAGGTGGAATCATATTAGCGGAAATCAATCGGTTTCACCTTCAAAATAAAGTCATACCATTCTGGAATACGAAGTGGTTTAGCCACATTATAAAGGAGAGCCATTATGTATTCTTTTTTTAATGTATGCTATGTGAGTAAGTATATAAAATAAATACCATAAAAAAACAATGATAGCCTATGTATTTCCAAGAACCCTCTGTTGAATGAAACCCTGCTATGAAGCGTAGTTCTGTTTACTGAACTTAAAGAATATCACAGATAACATTTATAAATTCAATACCGAAAATATTATTTTAGCAGAAAAGTGCAACACCTCGAATTTATAAATTGCTTTCATCCAAATGCCTATGTGGACTTTGTCTGCTGTCTCGAAGGCTGTCCCTGTATGTTATGTAGCAACACTTAGCTTTACATGCAATTCAAAGTGGTTATATGAATTTTGCATTGAACAATACAAATAGTGCACACATAAAATGAACCGTACCCTTACCTTAATCTACCGTTGTGTGTGTACCCGCACCGCACGAGTAAACGGTCTGCCATGTATGTTAAATATTATATTGTGTTGTTGTAAAACGACTTATTCGTACCCTTATTTTGAAGGATGCAGTATCCAACAGGAAATTGTGTTCTAAGAGCGCGGCCGCAGATGAATACTTTAGCGAAGCTGTGCAGACTGAGGTTTACCTGAGAAAGATGTAGAAAGCGCTATTCAGACAATGACGTGACACTAACAAAGGGTAGGAAACGTGTTTATCTCACCTTTTGTGCACGATATAATGCGCTGTAGATGATAACCCACATGTGTAATTAAACTGGTTTTGCATGCACTGTAGTTAATGTTTTCAGCTAGGCAGACAGGCTAACACTTATTAACGCTTAACACCTTGGAAATGTGGCTTGAAATAGTAAAAATGCACATATACTATCAGAGTTGAGTGTGTCATTAGGTGTCCACAACACTTGCGATAGTACTGATACACTTTGGATAACCTAAACTAGTTTTTATTTTTTAAAACAGCTATTTTTCAAGACTTTGTAGGCGTGGCAGATTACGTTTGATTGACAGCTCCCTTGTTTTGGTAATAATACTCTAATTAGCCAGTTAGGCCTTATGAAAAGATTTACTTGAACGTGATTTGTTTAGGAACTTTCACTATCAATGTCCATGTTAGGGACATGTGGAAGAGAGACAGGCTGCAGTGTTTTTTGTATTACAGTTTTACAGGATTTTGCCAACTTTGATGTAAACATTTACCAGACCTAACTCTAACTGTCATACCTTAACTTTACTTGGCTGCTGGACTATAGTCAGGTCTCTTTATAGCAGCTGTAAAGCATTATCTTCATGCATTATCTTTAAAACCACGTTGGTGTTCTTCGCAGGGTGTGAATTTGAGGCAGACATGCCTCTTTTAGAATTCTTAGCTGGGAGCATTTCAGGTAAGAAAAACTTGTATTTGTTTTAATTTGTGACAGAAAATAATAGTTGATTGAATAGAATATGTATTAATTAAGGAGTAATATTTGCCTGTTGGTTATTGTAGGTGCATTGGGACTGGCAGTTGGACATCCAGTGGATACCGTGAAGGTGCATGACACACTGAAACCTATAAACATTACCAAATGTATAAACCTAGTTTTGTAACCTCATGTTTTATTTGTAGGTGCGCCTGCAGGCCCATTCTGCATACAAAGGGATATTTCACTGTATAGCTAAAACATACTCTGCTGAGGGGGTAGGTGTTTTGTCCTTTTAAATTGTTGCACCTTATAGCTCCAGCCTCCATCACAAAATATTAATGCATATTTAACTCTTTTTTTTTGCCTTTATTATATCAGCTCCATGGATTCTTCAAAGGCATGGCATTTCCGGTGATGACCACAGGTATCAACAACTCCATCGTCTTTGGCTCATACAGTAATGCCTTAGACTATCTCACTCAGTCTCAGCGCAGCGACCGAAATCAAGGCAAAGAGCCTTCTGCTGCACATGTCTTCGCTGCCGGATGCTTTTCAGGCTTTGTGCAGGTAAGAAGGACTGTCATTCATGGTCTGGCTTCTTTCAAAGCACCTTTGTAATTAACATACCCAGATATTACTGGCATGATAGGACCACAAATTATTCGAAATGTGACATTTCAGGGTGTGAAAACTCTGCATGGTTTAAGCGAATGTCACTAGTTTCTTGTTGCATGTGTGTTTCCCACCTACAGGTGCAGGGAAATAAGACTTTAAGTATAAAGTGCTACTGGCCCCTAGAGGTTGCAATGTTTATTACATCCCACAAAACAAAAAGTCTTGTTGCTAAGAACTAGAATGATCAAGAATGTGACCTGAGCCAGGGTCATGAAAATCAACCAACCATGCTTTCAACCATGTACATTTAGTTATTTTCTCTGTGCAGTTGGACAATTTGCATGTCGCTTGGGCCCAGGTAGAGGCTGTGGAAAACATTGTGGAAAACATTGAAAAGTTGTTGACTTGCCTTTAACAGAGGGGGGCGCGAAAGTCATTCGAATTATTTCTTAGAGGACCATGCATACTATAATTGAAGGGCAGCCTTTGGGAATAGGGCCATGAGTCTATGCAAACTATGTTATGGCCCAAATTATTATTTGTGAGCTGATAGTGGTGAAGGAAAGGTCAGGGGGTTCAACTAAATAATTTGAAATAATCAGTGTTTTATCTGACCACTGGGAGGCGTCCAATAGTTTCCAAACCAATATTTATTTTGTATTCAAAGCTGCTAAGAACTATGTGTACTTACCCTTTATCTGATCATCTGCCTTCAGGTGTTTGTTTGCGCACCCATCGACCTGGTGAAGGTGCGTCTGCAGGGTCAAACAACAACTGCCCGATACCGTGGCCCTGTTCATTGTGTGGCCACCATCCTGAAGGAGGAGGGTCCCAGGGGTCTGTTCAGAGGAGGGATGGCCCTCGCCATGAGGGACATTCCCTGCTATGGACTCTACTTCCTGCCTTACGAGGTCACGCGAAAGGCTCTGACTGAGAGCGGCAAAGAGCCAGGTGGGTGTCAGAGGCAATAGAGCAACAGTACGACCCTCAGTAAATAAATATGTATCCAGGGCAGTTTATGAAAAATGGAAGGTCACTACTACAAATGGTAAATCAAAATGAAGACATGCTAAGCAAAATATCTAACTTTTTTAATCAAAATGATGAACTGAACTGAACAAAAATATAATTATTCAAAGTTAAAGATCTCAGCCTTTTCCTAAACACACTAAAGGCTTGTTTCTTTCGGATTTCAGTGATACATTATTCCAAAATGTTGTTCTTAGTCAATATAATCCATCCACGTGTGACGGCCACACATTGATTTAAGGTGTTTTTTCTAAACTGTAGTGGCAGGGGAAAAGGTTTAAGGCATGTTGATTATCATGAAATTAAATTAACTATGATACATGTATAATATCCTCGCAACTGCAGTTCTTAATGGCCACTGTGATGTACGGTTTGAGGGTGTGGGTCATTAAGCCTCATCTACATATTCAACTGTCGCAGCGCGCCCAGGGCCTTTTTAGTGGGCGCATCACCGGGATGCCAGGGTTTGGTTCTCACGGGAGGAGGAAGTGTGTGCGGCGAATGCGGGTATTCAGAGGGATATTTAAGTTTTCCTCAGCATGTGTTTATATATGTTAAAATTCAACGGGGAAAATAACTGAATGTGGATATTGCATCGATCCGACCAAGAAGCACGTCTCCGTGGAGAGGACGCGCACAGATAGAGAGAGAGATTCTCTCCAACACAGGGTGAGATCGCTCCTTTGTGCAAATAGGCCTACAAACATTTCCGTGTTTTTGCTGCCGACGGGCGCAGGAGCAACAGTTTTTTTTGTCAATGAACTATAGTGGCCTGGATTAGGCAGTAAAGACAATTTCGGTTTATCGCCGAGCGGACTTTTTGTTGAGTTTTGTTTGGCTGGAAAACTGTGAATATAATTGAATAACGTATAAAACCTGTCTTTGTTTATTTTGTGAATGTGTGAATTAGACTGTAGTAAATACACTTCCACGGACTATTTGGTGGAAAGAGTAGATTGTCCGTTTATCAGTTCTGTTTGCCTTTAATATATTATTTCATATCAAGAGGCCTTGTGTGTTTATTTAACACAGCTATTTTTGATAGTTGATCGTTACACACGTGACAGGTGTGGTTTATCAAGATGCTGATTAAACATGATTATCACACAGGTGCACTTTGTGCTGGTCACATTAAAAAGCTATTATCTATTTGTTTTGTCTTGAAAACATTTTTTTTTAAATTAGAACTTCACCTTAGGGTTACAGAAATGCATTTCTTATTCACAGATACCTTACAGAATCAGTTTGACCACCATGTGCCTCGTACAGTTTGTAACACACAATTGGCGCACTCCTCTTTAATGGCTGTACATGTAGGTAGGTACCCACTGACCCAAACATGCTAAATAGTTGACATAAAATGCAATGCAAGATCTCGGATGTTTATAGTTTCCAGAAGTTTCCTCTCAAACTGGTTTTTTTAATATGACAATGAGTTCATATACTCAATGGCCTCCAAAGTAAAAATATTGAATTAACAAGTTTCATTCAGCGTTGCGCACTTGATCTTATCTCATCATTTTTCTGTCCTCAGGTACATTTGCAATACTGATGGCGGGCGGCGTGGCGGGCGTGGTGACCTGGGCCTTCGCCACGCCCATGGATGTGGTCAAAGCCCGGCTCCAGATGTCGGGGGCCGGCGGGCGGGAGTACAGCGGGGTCCTCCACTGCATGAGAGTGAGCTTCAGAGAGGAGGGAGTGAGGGTCTTCTTCAAAGGCCTTACCCTGAACAGCCTGAGGGCCTTCCCCGTCAACGCCGTCACCTTCCTCACCTACGAGAGTCTCATGAAACTTTTCTATCCCCCGAAGAGATGACATATTTAGACTCTCTAAAAGCCTGAAAACACTCCACCTGAACAAAAAGTGATGAAGATGTTCAGATTGAGCATCCTGTGAATTGAACTGCCTTAAACGAGGATATCAGATTAAGCTGCACATTATGGACATCAAATCTATCATACTTGACAAAATATGAATGTAAACAATGCTGCGGACCGACAAGTGTTTATTTCCAAGCATTTTATTCTTCCGAACTGGACACAAAAAGTGAATGATGTCCTAATAAAAACAATACAAAGAATGTAGAGGATTTCTGGTGTCTGGTCCATGGAGTTTTTCCTAAAAGCCCCACCAAGAAACAACTAGTGTATACGAACAGGAGTCTCCTTTGGCAGTCTCAACTAATTGTTCATTAACAGTCCGTGTCATTTTTGATGTGCTGCTTCCTTTGTCAGCTCTATACACATTACACCTTTTGCACGGTGGAAATAAGACCACTGAGGTGGGGGTTTTATGTTGCAAACGGTAGATGTTTTTGACAGCCAAGCTAATTAAGGTCCCTGGTCTTAAAACCATTACCTATACCAGAACCATTTTTGACATCAACAATAGATCAAACACCTGTGTACTATGTGCAAGGGGTCACTTGTTACAAATTCAGAGAAAATCTACCAACTCCGAGGTTAATTCCCTGCTATGGACTCTACTTCCTGCCTTACGAGGTCACGCGAAAGGCTCTGACTGAGAGCGGCAAAGAGCCAGGTGGGTGTCAGAGGCAATAGAGCAACAGTACGACCCTCAGTAAATAAATATGTATCCAGGGCAGTTTATGAAAAATGGAAGGTCACTACTACAAATGGTAAATCAAAATGAAGACATGCTAAGCAAAATATCTTAACTTTTTTAATCAAAATGATGAACTGAACTGAACAAAAATATAATTATTCAAAGTTAAAGATCTCAGCCTTTTCCTAAACACACTAAAGGCTTGTTTCTTTCGGATTTCAGTGATACATTATTCCAAAATGTTGTTCTTAGTCAAGATAATCCATCCACGTGTGACGGCCACACATTGATTTAAGGTGTTTTTTCTAAACTGTAGTGGCAGGAGAAAAGGTTTAAGGCATGTTGATTATCATGAAATTAAATTAACTATGATACATGTATAATATCCTCGCAACTGCAGTTCTTAATGGCTACTGTGATGTACGGTTTGAGGGTGTGGGTCATTAAGCCTCATCTACATATTCAACTGTCGCAGCGCGCCCAGGGCCTTTTTAGTGGGCGCGTCACCGGGATGCCAGGGTTTGGTTCTCACGGGAGGAAGTGTGTGTGTGTGTGTGGTGGGGGGGGGGGGGGGGGGGTATGCGGGTATTCAGAGGGATATTTAAGTTTTCCTCAGCATGTGTTTAGAAGGAAACATAAGTCCACTTATATCTGTCAACATATTCGGCCAATAAACTTTTTAGGTTATAAAATATGTTTTGCGATGGCCAGGACTCTAAAAAGATCATTTGAATCTCATGAGACCTATCCTGTTTAAATAAAGGTTAAATAAAGTAGTTATTGTAATTGTTGGTCAAAATGTTATCTCATAGTTGACACATGAACAAAAAATGTGTTGTCACGTGCAAACGAAAAAGGAAATATGGTAAAAGATAAGTAGCATATTTTCCAAAACGAGTTTTAACCATGATACTCCCATGCTTGTAAGTCAAGTATAACAGTTTAGATATATACAAAATATCGTTTCAGTTGTATGGAAGAGGACATGTAAAATACATTTTAGATCTTACCAAAAGTTTAAAAACATTTTGACAAATAAATTCACTTTTTGTCCGATCTAAAAAAATATATATAAAAATGTAGCCCTAGTCCTCTTCCTTACAGTTTAGATTGTTTTAAGAATAGTTTTTATTTAGTTTCAAAGTCCAACCTTTTTCGTTGCTTATGTAGGTTTTACGTTTACGATGCCAAATCAGCACTGCAACATGAGATCACTGTTAATGGCTGACCAAATCAAATTACAAAATATGCTTAAAAATACTTTTATTCTCTGTACAGTGTCCACCAAACATAAATATACAGTATACTCCCTAGAGTTACATAAGTGGATATTTTACATCTTTGATATGCACACTCAAACAGTTTATAACTGCTCTCTTCTACCTCAACACTTCCACTTCTGAAGCTTTAATGATACAATACTCAAAAACATTTTGGACTTACCTCTCCAAACATAATTCCGAAGACTTAATATGGAAAATAAATGTAGAAAGATACATTTGTAGGGTATCAATATCAAATATTTTCTTACACCTGGATTTTAAAGGCACCAAGAAACAAATTGTCAACATTAGAAAGGAAAAAATACATGAAATGAATGAAAATATGTTCAAGTCAGATAACCTTTATAGTCAAAATTAAGAACGGATGCCTTAGCACAACACATCAGAAAGAAAGAAAAAAGACAGTTTCTTGAGGCAGAAAAGTAGAGCATAATGAAAATGCTCAAACCGTGTAACTGCCAGACTGACAAAGGTCAACAGGGATTTGTCCTACCAAAACACAGACGAGAAGACTGAACCCAACACCACTTGTGTAGGGGACAAAAAGTTGGGTTTTATTTTTGTTCAGGCCATATCTTGTGCTATTTGTAATAACGACATAGTTAACTGACATCTGGGGACACAGTGATATGGCTTTTAATAGATCCAATGAGGACAGAAAAGCAAACCGTATCTGTGTTATCGCTAATAAAACCTTCATTACACAAGAGGGCAAACAACTACAGTGGGTCATGGTTGAATCAGGGAGTTGGTCTGTTAACTTCGATGGATCGTTAACAGACGGATTGCGTAATAGCTTTACAGTGTCCCTTCTAATCCCAACAATTCTAGAGATTATCTGATAGGCAGGACAACAAAAATAAAACCCAAGTTGTTTCTTGGAGATTCGTAGAATGCAGTATGTGGCTTTAAAATATTTCACACATTGTTAAATAAAAAATGTGTCATAAGGCAAGACTGGCCTCGTATCAGGCAACCTTATGATCTCATATTCAGATTGTTTACACAGGTATGATACAGTGTACCACAGAATTATATTCTTACAGCTTCAATGCTTTACAGATATTCACAACAGCATACATTCAGCAGCAGCCACAGATAGAGAGAAACACTCTGGAATGCAGATGTAAGACAGAGATCTTACAGAAGTCACTTCCTTCATTCAGCTGAAGGACACCCTGAGCTTCCCCTTTAACTGACCCATATAAGACAAAGCCAAGGATGTGTAAGTGTAAGCACATAATCTAGCTAGGGATAAAGAAATACTGTCTATACTGTTGCACAGGACAAGGGAAGGATTTGTCAAACAAACACCGACCTGTTTTTCTCGTATGCCTCCATGGTGAACGGAAAAAAAACAAAACTGGTTCTTGATGAATGGAAGGAGAGGAAGGCCGCGTTAAGGCAAAACTATATCCAAACAACTTTTCATTCAAATGTGATGATATGTTGCTGTCGTTAAACGCGGCCGCCATTTAATTAAATTCATCACAGATGTTGCCTGTTTTTTCATTCTTGGTTCACCGTGGACGCATGCAAGAATACATTAGTTTTCTTCAATAATTCAAGTTAAAACGGGAAGAGTCATTCATATACAAATTGAGATTTTAGGGGTAAGACATTTAAAACGGATCCAGGGGAACATAAGTGATCCTCTATGTGGAATATGTGCACGCACAATGAAGAAATATCCCGTACACCCGTCTGGTCAGCCACAAACAGAACCTTTGTTTTAATACCTTGATCCAATGTTCAGGCAGCATTTTCAGTCTTCAGTGCTGAGTCGTCAGTGTGACTGAGAGGAGGGGGAGATCTGTTCCTGCAGAAGAGTTTTTTGGTTCTGCTCGGCAGCCAGGACCCGTAAGGTGGTCCTCTGGATCTGCCTGGCCTTGTTGTACAAGAAGACGCCCAGGAACACCAGGCCGGTGCCGGCGGCGCTGAGGATGGTGATGTGGTTGCTGAACACGATGATGCTCAGCCACACCGACAGGGCGTGTTTCACACTACTGGCAACACTGAGGAAGACAGGAAGGTTCAACTGTCAAAATAATCTCATGAGATGCATAGATGCTCCATCCTGTTTTATTACGCCAAAACATGACTCGTTTACTGGAAATAGGACAGATTGCTTTAAGCAGTGTTCTACATCTGCATGTACAGCAGCAGAAGACCATGCCAGGTACCAACTAAAAAAAGATTAAGGGTACCAAACCTGGACAAGGCCTCATATTGTTGATTTTAGCTGCATACTAAGGGCCCATCCGTAATGGAGCACTCGGGTTTTACAAAACTAACTGAGCCTCATTTATATTACACAACATTCATAAGCACTGTTGTTGATCATCTACCTATTTAATGGCCACAAGCTCTGGTTTCTTTCAGCAGGTCAATGTTTCAAGTCATAACGTACTTATCATTTCAAGATTGGGACAGATTTAAACTTAATCAGATGTCCTGAAAATGTTCTTGGTATAAATCCATCAGAGCGCACCAATTCACATCTCACTCTTTAACTCGGTCAGAATCCAACTAAAATAATAAATAAAGAACTTGAGTTATAAGTCTACTTAACAGTGCAAACTAATGTCAAGTGGCAGAACCTGGCACCAACATTACCCACAATGCAACTTGCCCGCAGACAGTTTGGTAGGATTTGATGAGTAAGGTAGCCTCAAGCAGAGTTGAGAAGAGGGCTGCGGCCCCCGATTTATTTCATTCCAGTTTTTTCCTGAACTATTTTCTTACACATGAGGAATCAACCCCTATTACCAGTCAGCAGTCATTCTGTAAAAAGTGTAGTTCCCCTTTAAGATAAATGCATGACTACATATGTTGGTATCTATTAAGCAAGGTCCATTTCAGCATTTCAATAAAAGCGATCGTATTCAGACAGGTGTACATAGTACTGTGTCAAACAGTGCACGTGTAGAATCAGGCTTCAGGAGGATGATATAAATGGGTTTTTCTTTTGTGCCTGTCACCTACCTGAAGGTAACGGGGGAAATCCGTCCCATGAGCGCGTAGGCGGTGACACTCTGCAGGTGGAACAGGGCGCCGTCAAAAAGCAGCAACAGGACAACATCCTGAGTGATGACTAAGCTTCGGCCACTCTTCCCGATCACTGGGATGTCCTGAAAACATGGAGACAGAGCATGACACGCATTAACATCATAACTGGTGCCTCAACCTTGCCCGTAACTATCAGAACATTTACTCTAAATACACATTGCTGTATTTTGTGCCTCTACTGTGACATGTTTCCATGCTTTAATGTTCAAAAAGCTCTTTATTTTTCTCATACTGCCTGTGCTGCAGCACCTCTTTTCACCCTCTGTCTGAAACCAGAGCCCAGTCTGCTCTGATTGGTTAGCTAGCCGGCTCTGTTGTGAGTGCTTGCCAATAGAAGTGCGAGTGTTCCGTAGTGATGTTACTATGTTGCGGTAGAACTTCAAAAAATGTACTTCAATCCGGGCGTGTCAGGCAGGGGGGGGGGGGGTGTATGTGTGAGAGAAACTCCCTGTGGCGTGACATTTGGGATTTTAGCCTTTGCAGACCATTTACATGCACCCAAACCTATATAACACACTACAGGAAATTGAAAACCCCAAAAGCATAATAGGGCAAAAGTCAATGCCAAAAATAGCTTCAGACTTTAGGTATATAACCCACTATAAATACACTTGCAATAATTCAGTTAAGCAATAATTGTAGTGTGTGTGTGTGTTGACCTACCAAGACAAAAAGCCAGGCAGGTATAAGCATGATGACTGCTGCGGCACTGGTATAAAACTGCAGCTCCGGAGGGCTGAAATAAGTCCGAATTTTTATTATAAATGTGTGTCAACATTTTTTTATTTCACTGCTGGAAATAGGAGGGTTCACATATTTTTACCTGAACTTGTATCCGTCTCCACTTAGCAGCTTTTTGGAGAATACGTTCTGCAAACTGAAATTGGAGAAACATGGTTAAATAAGGCATATTAAGCATCACACTGCTGCGGGATGGTTCTGTTGAGTGCTGCAGTACCAGTCCATGATGTTGGTGGAGAGCGCCGCGGAGAAGCCAATCATGTTGAAGCTCATCTCCGTGGCTGTGCAGAGAGCCAGGCCCGCCATGATGGGGAACAGGGACAGGTTCACCCACAGCGCTAAGGAACAGAGGCGTTGGACACAATTAAATGAGTCAACAGCTTCTCTAAAGACATAAACCATTCAGCTGCAGTCTAACTGGAAGAACCAGATTTAATGCTGTGTTGCCAACACAAATGTTGATGAAAGTAATTGATGGACGTGATGTAATAAAGGTGTTTTACTCCACTCTGTGAACAATGTCGTTTTACTGAATTACATCAAGTCTCAGTCCAACAAGAATGAGAGATTATATAGAATTTAAACCTAGTGAAATCTTTAATTTTGAATAAAAGTTGTAACTCCTTATCTCATGCCTCTCCTAGAAGCTGTCATACATTGTATCCAGTTTTAAGCCACATTTTATGATACACTTTTTCAACCAAGGTTGTATTTAACTGTGTATCTTGAAGACACAAAGTGTTTTTAATCAAACATCAGGATCTTAAGTTATAAGAGGATAAAAGGTAAGCAAACATTAGCAGTAAGTCCGTAGGCGCTTCATCCGTTATCCCCTGAAAACCATTGTAGAAACACTGATTATTAATTTGACACTCCTTTACTTAGTGTAACTCCCAGTTATATTCATGGGGTCAGTTTGTTTGGGAGAGAAAGAGACTCCTGCATATCATTCAAAACCTTCTGAACACTGAAATAATCCTAACCGGGAGAAATGTCCGGGACTGACGAAATGCAATGATCCAATGCTACTTTACGCCTCAACCAAACGATCGCTTTTGTTTTGATTAGGAGAACCCTAGTGGCAAATAAATTATATATGCTGCGTTTAACTCAAGAAAACTCAAACAAAAGTAGGTTTGGAGTTGTATATGTCCCCAAAACATCACTGCATTGATGCTCCAACAAAAAGCGTTAGAGGACCCTGCACAAAGAGTGGTGGTCATTGATTTGACCTGTTTGGAAGGCAACAGTCATTTCAGTGCATCAACTAAACAACTGACAATACTTCCAGTGCATCTTGGCCTACTACATGTTACTGGTACAAGTAACTAGAAAAATCCTGAGGAAAGACCAGGACCAGTTTGACTCTCTGAAGTGAAAGACATTCAGTGACTCCTGACATCAGTGTGTCCTCTACCTGTGTACTCCCCGAGGATCAGCCTGGACATGATCACAGTGAAGATGGGAGCCGAGCTCTTCACCGTCTCTGCAAAAGACACCGCCACATTCTTCAGGCTCACCAAGCCCAGAACCACAGTGGTGAACCTGAGGAAAGGAGACAAAGATGATACCAAGATATGACTTGAGATTGCATCAGAATTTGTTAATCTAGTACAAAATCTGTTCTACTTTCTTAGAAGCTACTAGTTAGTCTCTAACTTTATTAAATGACTAAGAAAACAAAAGGGGACCCACCTCATGAGTCCAACAAACAGCATGATCATGATGAAGTTGGGGGGGGTACTCTGTTCTGGACTTGTGCTGGTAAAGGCAACAGGGTACAAACATCTTTAGGAAGCCTATGATGGTGGTGGAGAGCATCTGAACAGCACCTGGGAGCACATGGAAGCAAAAAAACCCTGAGGCATGATGTCGGATGACCTTTGACTCCTAGAACTGCAACAGTAATATTTACCATTGTCTTGTTGGACAAATAAAGGTGGAAGCAGAACATGAACAGCAGCACCCTACCTGCTTGTTTAGGACACAGATGGGTTTCCATTAATTTCAGGGAACAACGAAAAACTACTTGCAGTGAGCAAAATATGCATGAATTAGGAAATCCACCATAGTGTGCATTTGTAATTAAATACTTATTGTTTTTGTCAAAGTAACATTATCATCACATGTGTTAGCGCATCTTAAATATATAAAAATAATCTTAGACAACTAATTACTGGGTGATAAAGGTAAAGTCTTATCATTAAAATGGTTGGCATCCATCAGATTTTAAGGGTCCCTAAATGCACCAGCAGAGTAAAAAAAAATTCTATGGACATCTTTCGTTAGTACCTATTTTAAGGAAGTGACATGTTTTTTTGTGCAAGTAGTTTTTCTTGCAGATCAGGTGCTTTACAAAAAGCTGAACAATGATATAGCAACAAATCTGATGATGCAATATAGAGGGACCTGCACAACCACAAAGGTTGGTTTCACGTTACTTGCAGGCTGTATGTAGAATTAGCATGCAAAATCACCTAAAATAAAATAATTATTAGCATTCATTTTATAGCATCTGTCCAATGTAACTATGACTTGTTCATCTGAGTCATGACCACAGAAGCAAAGTTGTTTTTCTCCTGCTTTGTTCTACACCATGTGCTTATAAACTTTGTCCGAAACGTAGGAGTTCTAATTTACAATGCAAAGGGCTGGATTTATCATTTAAAATAGAGCTGGGTGTAACCATCTTGATAACAATTGAATTTAGTATAGTCAGTTAATACCTATAAGATTTTACAAAAACAAAGCCATAAAGTACAGGTTTCCTGCCTTTATTTAGCTTTGTTATTATTAAAGGGGCCATTTAATGCTAACATTTCTGGTTTATACTTGTAATTGGGTTTCTACTAAAACATGTTTACATGCTTTAATGTAAAGATAAACAACACTTTTTTGTCCGTATATACCTGTAATCACCCTCTCACCGAAAAGCTCTGTTGAAGTGCCTGTTTCTTTAAGACCCCCTTACGATAAAGCCCAGTCTGCTCTTATTGGCTGGCAAGAAAGAAAAAAACCTAGTTCTCAAGCTGTTTTTGGAGATACTAATCTTGGGGACAATATCCTAATGAGCCTGAATGTGACATACAGTAGGACGTAGAGCCAAATATCAATGGCTTGTTGAGTCCCAGGTGTTTATATTCAATGTAACCTGCAGAAAGCTGACAGGGTTGTTGTAATTGGTTAGTAGTTACTTCCGTATACCCACATGTGTGTGGATAAGTATATTTATCATGTATTTACCCAGCATGCTTGGCTCCCCCTCCAGCAGTGACAGGATGTACTTGTTGAGGAAAAGGGTGCAGAAGCTGAAGAAGTACCAGAGGCCCAGGTAGGTAATGTTGCGCCAGTTCCAGACCCCTGACTCCGCCTCGATCACCGTGGTCTCTGTGACGGTGATCTTCAGAAGCTGCTCCCCCGACAGGCTGTCGCTGCGGGTCAGCACCACGTGCTCCTGCTGGCTGCGGAACGGAGACAGGAGGTGCCACAGCGGATGCCGCGTGTTTTGCCTACCGCCCGGCATCACACCTGCTGCCTGAGGGCCCACAGGGGCCCGACAGGTGGCTGATAGGAGGGAGGTGAGGTGTTGATGAAAGTTTGATGGTTAGTCCATCTTCTGATTGGTCCAGCAATCGATCAGTCTTGCAGTTTATACAGGGAATGGTTTAAGTCTCGATGGCCCGTCCTTTCTATAGTCTTCTGTCAGTTGAGATACAAGCTGAACAAAAGAGGGGGGGGGGGGGGGGGGGAGGAATGAGTTCTGTCAAGCTCTGGTCAAAATACCGGTCACACATATTGAGTGAGTGTCCATCAACTTGTTACATATTTAAAATTGTTACATAAAGGCAGTGTTGGAAGAAGTACTCAGATCCTTTACTTAAGTAAAAGTACAAATACTATGGTCTTAAAATACTACACTAGAAGTAAAGTCTAGATTTCAAAATGTACAAGTAAATGTTTTCATTTTGCTCAATGATTATAATAATATAGAATTCAGAAGAATTATCTGATACATGTACCTCAAGTATAAAAAGTAAAAGTATTCCTGCAGAATGGATCTTTTCACAGTAATATATTATTATGATTATTATTTTTATACTGTTTATAGGGTTAGGTGGTTATGCATTTTAGTATTGCGATTGGCCAATATGGACCAAATTACGAAACTTGAAATGCTGTGTAGAAAAGTACAACTGTAATGTATTATACCATATCAGCATATTATGTGTTTCCATTTGTAAGAAAGTAACTTGTAAATATATGTAGTGGAGTAAAAAGTAAGACATTTGCCTCTGAAATGTAACAGAGTAGAATGATTAAGTAGCATAAAATGGAAATACTCAAATGTCAAAAAAGTACAATAGGCCTACTTGAGTAAATGTACTTCGTTACTTTCCGCCAGCGATTTTTACTCCTTATTACTTTACATTCATACACTATTATTCATTAAAACTGTTTGTGTTGAAATGTATGTTACAATTTAAAGTTTTGCTACCGATTATTGGATACTTGTGATGCAAACACCTTGTTAAAACTGTAAAGTCTATGGTTAAACGGGTCTCACATGAACACAGTGAGCACAGCTTTTAATAGGGAGCATGTTGCTGAGAGAACAACGAGGTGTTGCACATTAAACAACACTGTGTTCACACTAATCTGTGCAGTTTGGTTAAACGTTACTGTAAGTATCTTTGTCCTCAAGTGTCAACTACAGGCAAACAATGCAACACTTCCTTGTCAAAACAGACGGAGGAGAAATTATGAGTTATGAGTAGCTGGATAAAGCACAAGGTGTCCGAATTAAATGCAAAATTAAGATTTCAAGAAGTCTTACCTCTTAGTTTTTAGATGCTTCAACAAGCCCAGACAGCCTCGAGTGTTATAAAAAAAGAGGAAATGGCATATTGACGCTAGCTAGTCGCTGTTTTTAGTAGTAACATGAGATGCAGTACAGCTACAGAGTCAGCCATGCTGACCGTCATTGTTCTCAACATGAGAGAGAGTGAACTGAGACTACGCCCTTTATATAAAAAACTGTATTTATCTTGTTTATCCATGTCGGTGCACCTGACTTTTCAGACGTGGCCACTAGCTTACAACAATCATTGCGCAATGTCAAGCTAACCTCAATTAAACAGCTCCCGCAAGAAAACATTTCAAAATAAAACCTTTACTCTTGGCGGTGAAAGCTCTTAGGGTAAAGTCGTGCAGTAGTTTAAACTAATTTAATTTAATGAACTGGTCTGAACATGTTAAGATTAGAGGTTGTATATATTTTCAAGATTTGTATTTTTTTTATGATAAGTTAAAGTTAGAACCTTTGGCCGCAAAAATAAAAGCTTTTATTTTACAAGATACAATCGCTGCGTTTCCGGTGAGGCAAGGCAAGGCAAGGCACATTATTTATATAGCACCTTTCAACACAAGGCAATTCAAAGTGCTTTACAAAAATGAAAGACATTAAGAGCATTAATAAAAACATATTATAAAATGATATCTAGAAACACTCATTTAAAAGCAATGATATAAAATGACATTTAAAAACACTCATTTAAAAGCAAAGATAACAAGCAAAGATAAAAAGCAGACTCTTCACAACTTTCCGAAGCTGCCACGAAACAAAGATCGTGCACACCATTGTTACCTTCCAAGTTAACCATTTGTAAGTGTTTTTGCTGTAATTTAAAATAATGCAATTCATAAAAAAATATGTCGCTTATTTTAAAAACAACTTGAACAATTTAAAATGGGCTCTCTATGTTGTAGTCAATGTTGACCACCATGTACTGTAGGGCATTGACCTCTCATTATTTCCAATACATGTTTATTAATGGGCAATAAATCCATGGGTCAACGTTTCAATGTACATCTTAATCAAATGAACTACCACACAGCTCCAGAACCGAAACGTTTGAACCTTGTATTCAGTCTATGGTTTGAACAGGTTAAGGCAGTGGTTTTCAAACTGTGGGGCCTGACCCCTGGTGGGTCGCGGAGGTACTGCAGGGGGGCGCGGGAAGAAATTGTAAACAAACACTTCTCGAAAATATCTCATTGGTCAGAGAGCTGTGGGCCAGTGACGTGCGGTGAGGTTCATGGCTGGTGAGGCACTGACTCTTTCAGAGTCAGATTTACAAATATTATAGCCTATTTTGACCTTAATCGAAATATTCTGTTATTTTCAAAAGCTTTTTTAGTCTGATGCTATGATTAATTTTAAACAGACCGATCAACAAAAGGATACCCAAAATCTAAATATTGGATTGTTCTTTCTAAGTAAGATCCCATTTTCATTACAGTTGTGGTCTTACCTTGACTTGAATATAAGTCCATGCTATCCTTCTGGACAACAATCTCTATTACTGTTTTGTAAAAGTCCTGCTTATCTCCCTGTAGTTTCAAAAGTCTAGTTTCTTTGTTGTTTGCGGTAGAATAACAGTAGCAACAAGAACCTGTGGGCTCACATGCGCCCCCTTCAGTGCGGCAGAGGTTATGGCTGCCTCTCCTGGTGATTTGCTGTTGTATGATGAGACCAACGAGCCTAAATATCATACGTGAAATAAGTTATTTAGAGACTATGGATGGCGAGGATAAATGTAATAAAGGGATCTACAAACATTACATTGGTGACCTACAGTGAGATGGGAACAGGCATGCGCTTAGGGCCCGCTTTCCAGCCAGTTTCTGTGGGGTGACACATTCTGAATTGAGGCAGAGCTCATCTGTGCCTCACCTGAGAATGCGTCACCCCACAGTAAATGGCTTGAGCGCGCTCACAAAATAAGTGGCCGCGCTAAATTAGTGCCCGCGCTCCAGCAAGTTACTGTGGGCTTACGAGAGGCAGTGCTCGTGCCTGCCTCACTTCTCATCGCTCCCGTAGCGGAGCTCGGCAAATTTGCTGATTTTGACTATAAAATGCGATTGGAATCATACATAAATCACATTTACACAAGATCAGTGGAGACATTTTATTATTATTATTATTTAGTTTTTCTTTAATTGTTTTTCCGTTACATTGGAGTATGACAGGTGAGGCTCTGCCTCCCCTGCCTCCAATGACTGCACGTCGCTGCTGTGGGCATACTGCTGCCTTTTGCAACATCCTACTTGTGTGAGATGCTGCCATCAAAACGAAATACAGATCAAAGCTGAACATTGAGAATGAACTGAGAGTGGCAGTCTCAAAACAAAATAAATTTGAATTTAAAAATCTACTACTCTGGGAAGAAGGCCTACTAGTTTTAATTAGGCCAAATTAATTCACAGTATCTATTACAAGCACTTTTGTTCATGTTTAATCCATAATAAAATATAAAATTATAGTTGGATCTTTGTATCTTCTTATTATTAGCAGAGAACATGTAATGTTTTTACAACAATATACAATTAATCCTACCAATATAGATGGGAACCGGGTTGGGGAGGCCCAATTACCCAAGGGGGGCCCAATGGAAAAAGTTTGGGAACCACTGGGTTAAGGTCTTTCAAATAGATAGAGACTTTAGACTTTCATGTGCTCCTTTATTAGTATTCCAGATACTGTGAAGATACTTTGCAATTATTAAGGCATATACTTTGAATGTAAATATACAGTGCTAGAGTGCATAGAAAAGTTAAAATAAAAAGTTAAGAATGCAAAAATAAAGAACCCCCCTGGACTTCAACAACAAAACCACAGGCACAGGGCATACCATCTAACAGATCCCAATGTAACTTTGGTTTCACTAACATTAGTCTCTCAGCTTAGTTTGTACTCACAGTGCCCACTCAAAGAAAATGAGCCTCCATGATCTTTTTAATTAGTGGGTTAATTTCCTCAACTTTTTATTTTCTGGGTTAGGTTATTTAACCGAATGTGTCGGTACACTAAATTACAATTGGAACTCATTACATTGAATCGTTGGTCAATCCAACTGAAAGGATACAGTAATATGAATATTGAAACTTTGTATGAAACAGTAGGGCTTCAGTTTCTCACTCTCACCACTGGAGAGCAGTACATAATCCTTTTAAAAACAGAGCAAACCTAAAAGCTGTGCTAAGGAGACAGTATATGTCATTAAGAAACATTTACTTAGTGTTGTAAAGTAATCAGATTTGTTCTCATTTACGTTCAGGCCTACTTACAGTTTTTTTCAGTTGCTAACACACTAAAATGACGCATAAAACACAATTATTTAAACTGATACCCAAAGAGCAAAACCTCAGCTGAAATCTCCAAATGTCTAAACAAACGTTTAGCTCTGCACCCAATTTGCAATTCAACTTGGCACTTTTTGCAAGACACTGCACCCGGTTCTCTGAGTAAGACATACATCTGACATTTTCAAAGGACTGCCATTAAAACCTGTTAAGCCCCATAGCCCCCGCCGGCGGGGGCTACGGGCTTTCTTTTCACAAAACTGTGTCTCACTCTCAGGCAGGCACGTGCACACATATACATCAAAGTGGGCTTGAGCCCCTGCCCTTTTTCTTCCTCCAGAGAAAGTGCCCTTTTTTCCCCCTTTTGTAATTTTTTTATAAATGAACATATATCTACTGCTGTTTGCGCAGTTTCCCTTTCCAAAAATATATTGATTGAATACAAAATTAAAATATCAGGTCGGGAGATTAGACTGAAGTTCCGATGCTCTCTCTACCCTCCCTCCCTCCCTCCAGTCTCCTGCACAGCGGTGCGGACAGTCATCGGCAGTCACTTCAGACAGACAGGTAGCAGCAGCTCCCACTTTACTGTGCCATGTTATGCCGGCTTTTCTTGGCTTATTTTGAAGATGAGTGGTGATGAACAAATTACTATACTGCCAGTGCCTCGAGTTTACAGCTAATTAGCTAAAAGACAATAACAAATATAGTTAACTATGGTATGGCTACTAGCTAATGGATAAGTTAGCTCAAGGTTTAGCTAAGACAATTTATCATGAGCATACAGGCTAATGTACTGAACTTAAGGGGAGACATTTAAAGTGAATACAGTAAAATGTGTATCTAATAACGTCATCACAATCGCCACATTGATATGCAAATTAGGCGTTAATAGGCTAAATTAAAATGCGCTAATTTGTATGCAGTTACCAAGGCATTGCAGGTGAAAAGGATAACACAAAAAAACATATCACCTCACAACTTCCCCAGATAGTTACTTACGTCAAGTCAGTATTTTCCCCTGAAATGTTATGTTTAAATATGCAGATTAGCTTTAAATCTATAGATGAATTTAGACATGGTAGTAAAACGAACACCATTTATTTGTGTTTCTTGGAAGTTTTATTTCCATTAGAGTGAAAGAAAACATGGAAGCAAAATAGACCAAAATAACAAGTACATGAAAAAATGATCTTTTTACCTGTAATGTCCTTTAACAGTAACTTCATAATTTTGATTGTTGGCTGCTCATTTAATAACTATTAATTGTACTAGTTTGTTGTCTGCTCTTGTGCATTGTGAATACTAAAGAAGACCATGGTCTCTGTGTTAACTGATTATTTTGTAGAATTCTGTTGAGTATTAAACAATTGCGTGAGTGTGAGGGTATTAAAATAAATTGGTCAGTAAGTCAGAGATGTGCAACTATATTTAACTTTTTGTTTTAAAACACTTTTTTATAAATGATTATGGGAAGTGCCCTTTTTCTCACTTCAGCACCCGCCCCCCAAAATGTCTGTGTACGTCCCTGCTCTCAGGGCTTCTTAAAATGTAATAAACTATGAATGTGTCATACTCACTTAACGGGAATAAACTCAGCTAACTGACGATATGAACAGGGGTGCACATAACTGGTACGCAGGTACGCATGCGCGGCAACAATCTGAAATGCGTAACGTCACTTGTGTCACAACGCGCCTTTGCGTACCTGATAGGTCATCAAAACAAAAACACATATTTCGTCTATACGTGTTTCTTGTCAACACTCAGTGGAGTAAATTATTAGACATGTCCAAAAAAAACAAAGACATTAAGCAGCCACTTTGCCGTTTCGCTCCCTGCAAAAATCTTCGGACTTTCTATGACTGATTGAACTGGGTGCTGGCCGTGCCGCGCAGGACATAACCGACGGACCTGTGAAGCTTCACAGGAGAAAGAGGCTTAGATCACTGGACG